TGTCTGGCCATCTGTTCGTGACCTCAAGCTGAAGCGAACTTGGGTTCTGCAGCAGGACAATGATCCAAAACACACCAGCAAGTCCACCTCTGAATGGCTGAAGAAAAACAAAATGAAGACTTTGGAGTGGCCTAGTCAAAGTCCTGACCTGAATCCTATTGAGATGCTGTGGCATGACCTTAAAAAGCCGGTTCATGCTCGAAAACCCTCCAATGTGGCTGAATTACAACAATTCTGCATAGATGAGTGGACCAAAATTCCTGCACAGCGCTGTAACAGACTCATTGCAAGTCATCGCAAACGCTTGATTGCAGTTGTTGCTGCTAAGGGTGGCCCAACCAGTTATTAGGTTTAGGGGGCAAACACTTTTTCACACAGGGCCATGTAGTTTGGGATTTTGTTTTCCCTTAATAATAAAAACCTTCATTTAAAAACTGCATGTTGTGTTCACTTGTGTTATCTTTGACTAATATTTAATTACTGAGCCACTGCATGAAAAGCACACACTTCTGTTTCTCATACATGCATGCATATCCTCATCTCTTACAACAACTGCCCCTAGTGGCACTTCTTAATCAACAGGCTATATACAGTAAGTGAACACATCTCACAACATTGCCTGACCCATTTAGAGTTGACTGTAAGGTTGACCATCTGAATGAATCACAACCACGTGAACTGATAAAAATGACTGGATAAAAGTGTCTGTCAAATGCATTAATGTGAATGTTCTACTATTGATCTGCTCTCTGTTTTCATTATTATAGTGAGTGGAGATGATGAATCTGATTCATGGTCTCTGGGAAGTTCTGCTTATGGCTCATTCAGATCACGATCAGGAGCAGACATAGTTTTTGGATCATCACGTTCCAGAGATTCGTCTCACACAAGTTATGAGTCAGGGGCCATAAAACTATATAACAGCATTGAACTTCCACCACCCAGCAGTGAGTGCTTTTGTTTGACTGTTTTAAGTACACTTTGGTCTCACTGTGACCTTTTTTTAAAATAAAATATTAAGAATCCCATCTGTTTTGTTTTGTGAAATGGTGAAAATGTATGTCTACATCACCCATAGAAAACTGTAGTAGTAGCAAAGTTTTCTGTCATGTTTCTAATCTGTCAATCACAACTAATTATGATATATAGTATATTATATACTGTATATGTACACAGTAAAAAAAAAAACCTTGTTTAAAAAAAAAAAAACCGGCAGCTGTGGTTGCCAGAATAATTTTGTAAAAAATAAATAAAAAAAATACAGCAAAAATGTGAAATTCATTTTAAAATTCATTCATTTAAAATTCATTTTAAACTTGTGAATTCGACAATGCACACTGCTACTAAAATGTGTTTTCTAACTTTAACATATACTGACAACCACCATAATAATGCAGGTGATAAAACAGGAAGGCACATGAAGAATAATGAAAATCATTCAATTTCCATTGGATAAAATCAAGTCCCTACATGATGATTTTCTACTTTTTGTCTAGTGAGTGTTAGAGGGAAAACGGTAACTGGATGTCTTTACAGACGCCACACAACTCAAGCAACAGAAAAACACAGCACGAAAGTTGGACGATCCAGTGAGTATCTTTTTGTTACAAGAGTTTGATCTTGAAATTTATAATAATAATTAAAAAAAAAACTTATTCAGTTTGTTCGGGCCTATTTTATTATCTTTTGATGAGGTGTTGAACATTATGATGGCTGTCAAAAATCAAACTGAATGAAACTAGTTATTGATGCACTTAAGAGCATTAAAATTGTGTTTAACTTCTGACATTCTGAAAATATCTAGATTAAGATAATGAATGTATTGGAAAAGTAATTTTAAGTGTGTACAGTATGTGGCCAAAGATAAACTGTTTTTATAGCCTATAAATCTGGGGGAAAAAAAGGAAAAGTTAGATCAACGATGACTAGAAACAGTCAGAGTCACCTCTAAAAGTGAAATGATGAGTCAGATAAGGAAAGATCTCAAATATATAATATATTGTGTTAGAATCGTGTTAGCCTGTGTTCTAGCACATTTTAAAAATATTTCTTCTGCTTGTATTTTTTCCCCCCAGTGAGTTATCTAGTCAAGAGGTCTCAGGTAAACTCTGCACAACTAGAAGCAGACAGCAGGTTTGGGTCATCATGCTCCATAGTCTCCACTGGCAGCTCAGGATATGGATCTTCACGCTCCTTTCCTCAATCTGTGGAACAGTCAGAACACAAATGGATAAATAGTGCGTTTAAGATTTCAGAACTTTCAGACAAACAAGATGAGTGTGAAGATATGAACTTATAAGAATTAATGTATGCAAATGAGTTTATATAGCCATCCATTCTCCAAGCTGCATGTTCTATGTAGAGATTCAGGAGCCTGTCCCAGCAGCTCAGGCCGTAGACAGGGAAACACTCTGGATGGATGGCCAGTTGTTTACATATCTTAATCTAAAATTTTTTAATATTGTACACTGTAAAAACTGTGATTCAATAAAGATGCAATACCAAACATTTAAAAAATATCCGGTATAAAATACCTTTTGTTTTCTTTAATCTGTTGCTGGTCAGTTTGTTGATTGTAACATTTGTGTAACACAAACCAAGTATATGAGGTAAATCTGTTTTTTTTCTAATACACAATTTATATTTTTCTTTGCTCTCCACAAAGCACATAATATTTTAACAACTTAATTCCAATTGACTCGTTAAATTAATTCCCAAAATTTTTTTTTTTACAATCTATTTGCAGTTACTTATTTTCACTGATTTACTTGTTACTCATTTCAAAATGATATTGTTTAATCGATTGCAAAAATATATATATATATATATATTGTGTATGTGTATATATATATTTTTTAAATACTGTATTATAATGTTTGAATGCCTTAAAGAAATATTTAATGAAGAAAAATAATTCAGTAATTTTTTTAAATAGCATTTGATTTCATATTTCAAATGGCAATGACAAAGTTTTTACATTCAAATACTGCACACAAAAATATTTAAGATTTTTATAAAGATCAAAAAAAGTACTCCTGTCCATTTTCAACCTTACAAGAAACCCTATAAATATTCTTTACAGCAATATTTTATTGGCAAACTATTATAAAGGCAGCAGACCCATTTGAGCTATATGACCTAATTGAGGTCTTTAACACTACAACTCATTTTAGCCCCAAAACACACACCAGCAAATACAGTGCAAGCCGTTTAACGTTTCTAAAATTCATCTCATAAGTGAAATCCTTAACAGTGATACAGGAAGTGTAAACAAACATCCCAGAAAATGTGACCACAAATACAATCCAAGGGTTTATTTCAAAGCAGATTGATCCTGTCTGCTCTGCAGGTTCCATGAAGATGTCACTGGTGTGTTTTTAAACTGGTGTCAGGAAGTTCAGGTTGAGGCTGCTGGGGATCTGGATGGTCTCGAGGGCCACAGGTGAAGGGTTGAAGGGGAAAGTGACTGGGAAAATGATCTTTGCGTCCATCAGTAACTGAGAAGACTCCTTACGATCCTTTAATAAAGTCTAGAGAGGATGGAGAAGTGTTTTACTATGTAAATCGAACAATATCTGACTTAAAATACATTTAAAAACATTGAGAAATGACTCACCTGTACAGACTTTATGAATGATATAGACACTCTCTCCTCAAACTCATTCACTGGTGTGTACAAGCGGAGGATTTTCACAATCTGTCACAAACAGACACAGAACATCAGAACTGAACTCAAGGTTTCATCAGAGACTCCATTCAGATCTCGCACACGCACACACACACACACACCTGTTCAGTGGTGAGAGCTGTGCACATAGTACAGATGGCCCCTGCGTCGTCCTGGCTCTTCTTTTTGATCTGCAGAAGCTGAGCTGCCTGAATCAGAGGCTCCAGAGACTCACGCGCTCCACTGCCCTGAAGATCTTTATCCAGCAACCACTCCTCCAGCTGACATACATTATACCTTATATAAAGAAAAAAATAATTGTAAATAAAATAAATACATGCATATATATATATTTTCAATGTTCTAT